AATACTAGACAAATAACATTAATTATAAATTGTTTGTTAATCATCATCAAAACAAAAGGACCCAATAATCTCTCCCTTTTTTATGATAACAAACAATTTACAAAAAAAAGATATATACATAAAAGGAAATTAATATGTAAATTAGAATTATCATGCATATAACCAAAACAAGATATATACTCATAATATTTCTCCCCATTTGACAACATCAAAAAGGAAAAAACAAAAGAATGAAGAGAGCGAAAGCTCCCCCTACAAATAAGCATGGGTGAGTATAAAATAAATAAAAAGATATAGGGATTGCTCCCCCTATCAAATGTCGTATGGAGTATATGCAATAAAGATCATGGCAAACATGTGAGCAAGCATAAATGTAAAATATGCTAAGTATAACTCACATACAACAAACAATTGAGAACACGTGTAGATATATCATTATAAAATAGTGTGTCTCAAGGCACAAGCCAAAAACAAAATAGATTTATAAAATAAAAAAAAGAACATGGGAACCATGTAAAAAAGTTTTCGAATGAAAACAAAGCACTCAAATAAAATCATAAATCACAAGTAAATCACATAAAAACAAATCAATACCAATTTTCGAATAAAAGGTAAGAGAGACAACTATATCAAGCCCTTTAGCTTGTAACAACCCATATAAACATTTTAGCACTCGGTAAACATGATTTGGGAAATAAACACCCAATAAATCCGGGGGGTTATATAAACACAAACCTCTCATCAAAATCGAAACTAATAATCATGAAAACAAAAGAATTGATCAAAGAAAAATTGTTTTCATATTCAAAAATTTCAAAGCATAATTCTCAAAACCAAGAAAAAGAAAAAGAAAAATACTAAAAATCTTGGTTTAAAAAATCAAATTTATTTTGGTACCCAATTATTCTTGGTACCAAAGGATTTAGGAACATGACCCCTATCATGAAAGCTCAATGCCCTAGGGTTATGAATCATTTTGGACACATGTGGTACACTAACACGGTCAAAGTAATAATCACTCAAATGACCCTTTCGATTGTAATATGTATAATGGAAAGGAAGTATTTGCTTATGTTGAGCATTAACAGGTGCACGTGGAACATTTGCAAACAAATGTAAATTATTTGAAGCTCTTTGCAAATGTGAAATATTATCAAAACAAAACTTTTCTAAGTGGCTAAATCTACCACAAACATTACATTTAAAAACATGTAGTCTACTAGAAACATTTGGCAAACTAGATCTTCTTTTCAAATCAAAATAATATTTTACCAAATAACCAAAACGACCATAATGATCACACTTAAACACACTAGCATGCTTATGATGAACTTTAGGTGCATGTAAATGTGTGTGATGAAGAAACCTAATGGGATATACAAGGAGAATTAATATTCTTATGTTTGTGTGCATCATAGTAAAATTTAGCAATATGATATTTTCGGCCGCAAATTGAACACTTGTAAACTTTGTTATATATGTGTGCATAATGAGTGGATGATTTTAGTTTAGACTTGACACACATATCCACAAGCTTCTTATGATTATCAATGCATGTGTTTAAGGTTGAATCTAAACAAGATATGTGGTTTTTAACATGATTCAACTCATCATTAGGCATAACATAATTGATAATAGAAGTAGAGCGTGCATGGATATTCTTAAAAGAATCGAATTTATTTCTAATTCATTCTACTTCTATCATGGCATCATTATTAGCATGAGCTAGGGTAGAGATAGATAAGCTCAAATTTTTATTTTCCAAATTTAACATATCATTATTTTCTTTTAAGTGTAACATTCTCTTTAGCAATGATATCAAATTTGGAACCTATCAACTCATGATCGGATTTTAATTGTACATGCTTGCTTTTAAGGTTAACAAAATCATTTTTAATTTCTTGTAGGCATGCGCTAATCTATCAAATGCACAAGCGAGTTCATTAATAGATAGATCATCATCAGATTCCAAATCACTTACCACACTAGGGCTATCGCCTAGTGCCCGTGTGCACGATGATGCTCCACACTCACTTGAAGAAGAATCCTCCAAACTACGTTGGATTTCCTCTAAGTTGTCTTGATGTACTTCTATAAATTTCTATAAATTGTAAACACTATCAAAATGAACAAATTTGTTAGAAATGGATGAGTCAAAAGTATTAAGCAAGAATTCTAACAAAAGCTTATTCATTGTAAACATTCTATGATCATTTTTACTCCACTTGGATTTCTCCGTAGTGGGTACAATATAAACATTATCAATAATATCCTATAAATCGAAATGTCTAGATCTAACAAAAATATTAAATCTAGAACACCATTGGTCTTAGTGAAAATTATCTATTCTAGGAGAAACATTAGAATCATAGCCTAAACAATGTGCACAATGCATGTCCATAATATTTATATGTATGCAAGCAAGATAACAATAAATCTCAAAATTAGATTAGTACAAAAAGATAACGTGTATCTTTAACTCAAGACGATTAGACCTTAAATCAAAGAGCACCAAGCTCTGATACCAATTGAAAGTACCCTATGCTGCACTGATACCAATTGAAAGCACCCCAATGCCACTAGGAAATAACCCTAGATGGGGGTGAATAGGGTTTATGCTAATCTAATCTAATTTATGCCAAATTCAAACTTATTAACAAATTATCCTAGCAAATAAGATATGCAATGATTTATTAGTAAGGATAAGCAATATAAACAAGGGTGAAACAAGATAAACAAAAGATACAATTATGATAGGACAATATAAACAATGCAAACACATAATATGATCATGGAGTTCGGACCTTCCGTCCTACGTACGTCTCCGATCCCCACTCCCGGGGAGAAATCCACTATCACACCGGGTTTTTGACGATCACCCGAAAACGTTTACACCATACAATATCGGTTTTCAACACTCACTGATCAAAGTTCACAATCTCACAATGTAACTACACTAACTACCACCTCAAGTGTTGGTCTCTAGCCCGTGTCTCCCTCAAATATTAGGAATTATAACCTCTCTCTAGGCATTACCACCTACCCCACTCTTTTTGGGACGACCCCGTCTCTCACCACACACTCCTCTTGGTGTACTAGTGTATTACAAAGTAAATCCTCATAATTATAGCTCACAACAATGGTTATTCTCTACTATGGATGAGAACACAATGAAAGCTCACACTCTAAGTCACAAACCACAACCCCAAATTATACTATAAATGTAAATACAATAAGCTCAATAGGTTCTGTGTGAACAAAGAGTATCAGTAAAACAATTAAACTCAATATTGAAATCTAGCTTATGGAAATTAGAATCAAAACAATAAATAGCTAGAATTGAGTTTAAGGAAACTTCTCTATAGATAACAAGAGAGAGGGAGAAGAGTGAATGCTCAAACACCAAAGGATGATCTCAACTTGCTCTTGTGAAATACTCTTCACAAACCGAAACTAGAAAAATGCTTAAAAGATTTTTAAACAAACTTAAACCAAACTTTAAACCCTTGTTAAACTTTCTTAAAACATTCTCTTAGTTATTTTTGGTCTGAGGTATAAGGGGTATTTATAGAGACCCCAAGACACAAGAAAAACAAAGCAAAAAGACCAAAAATCCAAAACTAGTACAGGTTGAAAAAAACTAACCGTTACAACATCAGTCGACTAACAAGTTTTATCAGTCGACTGATGAGCTAACCGTTATAGGCATTCTCCAGCTCATCAGTCGACTGATGACCTTATCAGTCGACTGATAACGTCATCAGTCGACTGGTTAGTCGACCAAAATAAAATAGAAACTTTTTGTTATTCCAGACCTTTTCTTCAGTCGACTGAACACATTTATCAGTCGGCTGTTAACATTGTATCAGCCTGATTTAAATAGTAAAACTAAATTTTAAATTGCCTTTAAAAATAGCAAATAAATTCTAAAAAATATAAAACTTTGAAAAATCATTGTAAACATGTAAATGAACATGTTACAAAAAGAATTTTTAGAATTGCACTTCTCAATAGTGAAAACTCAACATTTTTTAAATATGTCCAAAAATATGAAAACTAAACATACATGTTTTTATCATTTGACATAAATACAGTATTAAAACTTTTGTAAAATAATTTTATAGACTTAATGAATTGATATAAAATATTGTTATGAAATCTATAAACAAATAATTTAATATTTTCACAAATTCATTTTTGTATAAACTTGAAAACTATAAAACCAAAACATATATATATATATATATATATATATATATATATATAGCCGACGAAACAAAAACGTCGGCAAATGTTTAAAAAACGTCGGGAAAAATATTTCCCGACGCAAAATACAGTGTCGCTAACGCGTCGCCAAAAGTGCGTCAAGGAAAGTATTTGGCGACGCAAATACACTGCGTCGCCAAAAGTACACTTTTAGCGACGCGACATGCGTCGGGAAAAGTACATCTTTTAGCGACGCATATTATTTTGCGTCGGTAAAAACATGCTGATTTTTTCCATATGTGAAAAGACGTCGGGAAATCTTGCACTTTTGGCGACGTACATAACGTCGGCAAAGGGTAATGCGTCGGAAAAAATACACTTTTAGCGACACGGAATGTAGCGTCGCTAAAAATCTAATCTTTGGTGACGCATGATTTGCGTCGGCAAAAGTGTAGCTTTTAGCGACGCTCTATTCTGCGTCGCTAAAAGTATACTTTTGCCAACGCAAATCATGTGTCGTCAAATATTAGATTTTTAGCGACGCTACATTCCGCGTCGCTAAAAGTGTATTTTTGCCGACGCAAGATTGCGTCGCTAAAAGATATTACTTTTGGTGACAAAATATGTCGTCGGCAAAAGTGTTACATTTAGCGACTAAATATAGCGTCGGCAAAAGTATTACTTTTACTGACGCTTATCGACACTAATTTGCATCGCCAAAAATAATACATTCTCTATCAAATACAAGCCTACACTAAATCTGAACATCCACAAAAAAGTTGATCGCATTCACATCAACATAAAAGTCTATTTTTCCATTTCCCCTTGAGTGCTAAAAGCGTTAATTTACAAACTTCCTCTTGCATACCCAAGTACATAAAGTCTCTCAAAAACAGATTACATCAAGAAAACTAGAAACAACAATATCAAATTTGTATCATTAATTACAAAGAACAAATGGATTTGAGGAAGAACATGACCCAGTTTAGATAGTGCATCTGCAACAGTGTTTGCCTCTCGCATACAGTGTAGAACAGGAACTTCTTTGTAGGAATGTCAGAAGCCTTAGGTTGGCACTGGGAAAAAAATTTATACCTAAAGTATTTCAGCAGGTCAGCAGAAAATAAAGGGTTTCCTGATGACTAAAGGTAACCTCATCAAGGAAGAGGATGAGCAAAGCCTACAGCATATACAACAAGAGGGAGGAAATTATACATGTTGTTAGTTAGCCAACATCTAGAATCCTTTGTTAGAAAGAATGAGAACATAGCATCTAAATCTATTAACGGCAAGCAAAAATCACTAAACCAGTCATCCAATTTAATTTATGCATTCAACCAAATTGTAGGTGGTTATATGTATAAAATATGTCAGCCTCCTAAATGTATATGGATTATATATAATTAAACAAACACACCTTGCAAAGTGCATGATACTCCTTCTGGAGACGTTTCAAACAAGCTCTATGTGCCATCAGCTATAGGTACTCTCAGAATGAAGCTCCAAACAATGCTTTTATCCTCAACCAGTAAAGCTCTTAATATGCCTCAGCTTATTCTGCTGAACAACAATCTAAACCTGCAATATGCAATATAAGAAGAAATTAAAGGTACATAAAAATGGAACCTTTTTCAGCAGACTGAAGTCAGCATATATTCACTTGCATAGCTATATAAGCATAGAGGACACTGTAAGCAGTAGAAAATTTTGGCCAAAGAAATCAAACAAATGCTCTCCCAATGGTGGAAGCATGCACCAATAACTAGGAAGTTCTATTGTAGCATGCCTTAGCTATCATGATGTGATCATTTTTATACAATAAGGAAAAATAATTGCCTAATCTAAAGTTGGACAAGAAGCCAATTGGTTTACAAACATTACTTGCATATTTTGAAGGCTTTTTGTGTCCTATGATTTCTTGACAGCAACCAGAGCCAGCATAACATGCAGGCATAAAAATGGGCTTACAATTATGGTTACAGGTTAGAACTTGATTTACCTCTGAAGTGGAATTATAACAACATAAATGAAGAAAGGAATAGAAAAGAGATAGCATCAAATTTCAGTAAAGTTTTAGGTACTAAAAATCCAAAGAAAAAGAGTAGTTGCAGTTTTAGGTATTAAACCAGTCGTTTTAATATATTAACACTCCTCTCTAAAGATTGGACCAGATTCATTAACACCCCATATTCATGTCAGACAAGAACTTTCTTGGTCACACACATTTCAGATGCCCATTAATAAAGTATCTAAGTTACAGATGCGCTGCAATGATGATAAATATGATGCTGACCTTTTCCATAAAATCTTCTGCATACCTAACTGCATACCTAACTGCATACCTAACTGGTTGAATTTTCATTTAGTTTCCAAAGACACTTAGTAAACACATGAGCATTGGAACAAGCATATATTACGAAATATTTATTATCATTTACCTTTGACGTTGAAGTGGGTTTCTGTTTGAAAGGTTTGACAACATTACATTCTTCAGTGGATGCGGAATGGCCATTTGTAATAAATACACACTTCAGTGCAGATTACCGAGACACGAAAATGGAAGATAAGGAGGTTTATATTACAAAGACTGGAATGTACAACCTACAATTCAGGAATAGCAACAACTAGGAGAGTATCGGCAGGTAAGGGATCAGGAATAGCATCCTCAAGAGGAGCAACAGCATATAGGGGAGTAGCAACATTATCAAGAGGAGGGGGAGAAGCAGGTACATCATCTTCAAGGGGGAGGGGAAACAATAACTACATAGGGAGCATCAACAATATTGTCAAGAGGAGGGGGGAGAAGCAGGGACGTTGGGAGCAACAACAATTATCAACGGGAGCAGCAACATTAGGACCATTTGGTGCACCTAATACACAATAAAGTTCAACCCTCTCACATGAAACAGGGACTCAACAACAAGCAAATCAATCATCAACGTCAATAGGGTTTGGCAGTGTGGTTTGGAAATGAATGTTCTGATCAAGTTGTATTTTTTTAGAAATGGGATGTGATATAGCCATTTACTGTACATAGCAATTTTTTTAGATATGGTATATGGTATATATACAGTTAAGTAAGCCATCAAATTATGTTTTGTGTGTGATAGTATTTCATGTATATGGCATTTTGTTAACTTTTGGCCATGTGAAAACCATGTGTCCATAATGTAAAACTCAAAAAGAAGTTATTTTCAATGAATGGAAGGTTTATGTTCCAATATTTTGTTCAACTTGTGTGTGTAATGTTTTGAAATTGTGTATAATATCATATCGTATTCAATGTATGAGAGGTTTATGTCCGGATTTTTCATCAAGTTTGAAAGGTTTACCTAACAATTAGATTTATGTGATGCTATGTACAGTATCACAATTTATTTTTTTTTGGAAAAATATCACACTACATTCCTATTGGCATTATATTAACAACAATCCAAATATTCAAAACAGAAACTCAGAAGTGGAAATTCAATTGATACAAAATTGAAAATACAAAATTTCCTTGATGAATTTGAAATAATACATTAAATTCCATGGATACTAGTCAATACTACAATATACCATGGCATCAAACTAAATTAACGATAGTTATAGAACTTCAACAAACAAAAAACCCTAATACAACAAAACTAATCTTCATCAACGTGATAATTCTATCCATCTTCTTTGACAACAAATTAACTTCTTTGGGGAGCTTCATCAACAAATTCCTATTAGATCCATAATTATAAACTTCATAAAAAAAAGCCAGTTGAGCATGATGACAGAGCTTAAACTTGATTAGGGATATGAATAATCTAATAGAGATGGCTTCTTGGGCAGAAATTGGGGGTTCTTATATGTCTAATTAATGTAGAAAGTATAGTTACTTTCATGATTTAGGTGGAGGGGAATCATGGAGGAAGAAGACAGTAAATGGGTTAGGATTTTATAACGGGTTTGGATTTTCTTAACGAGCTTGGGTTTTAGCGGGTTTGAATGAAAGGGTTTGGGTTCATTAAAAAAAATACATCAGTATTACTTGCATGAAAGGGTTTGGGTTTGGGTATGAAAGGGTTTGGGTTCATTAAAAATATATCTAGCTAATAAGGAAAATACATCAGCTACTTGCATGTGCATAAATATAATTCATGAGTGTTACTTAATTCAGCTATAAATTTCAACTAAGATTAAAAAAATACCCGAACTCTCATAATGATCGCCTCTCAAATCCCAGCATCAATATTGTCCCAACCACAATTGCGAACAGGTACAGATGATCAGATCTCCTTCCCAATCTCATTCGCGAGGGATGTCGCATGCTCCCCCTCCGGTGCTCCACTCGAGGAAGGGATCGGAACTGAAATCGCATGACCCAATTATCTCACCAATCTCTCTGTCCCCTTCCCTCATGTTGCACCGCGTACATTTCTACGGGCCGATGGTACCGATCCTACAAAAATACAAAGTTAATTAAATTAAATTTTATATCTAATATAAAGGAAAGGTGAATTTAATATGTAAATAATGATATACTATTACCTACGCTGCTCCCGATTGTTTGAGGGCTTTCTAGTTGGTCAGGCTGGGCAATGGATGATGGCTCATGGTGGGGCAGGTCGTTACGGGTACACTGGGGTGGCTAATTCGAGGCAACCAAGATCCTCCTCTCGGGCATAGAAGTCGATGGTATGATATTTTTAGACTTGCGTCCTGGAGCCATACGTGTTACCTGTTATAATGGAGTAAAATGAATTAGTAGTACACATACTGAAAAGAAATTAATAACAAATAATAAGTAATGATAAGGACAAGTAATTACAAGTAACAATTAATGACAATACACAAATAGATATTACCTCTTCTAAATCATCATTGACATCTTCACTCGATGAGCTAAGCAAATTATCATCCATAGACGGTAGGTACTCATCATCATCCTCACAAACATTTTTTTTACTGCCTTTACTTTTCCTCTCATCCATTGGCAACGTCCTAAAAAATGTTTGTGAAAGTGGTGGTATTCCCAAAGCTCTCATTCTCGCTATATTCTCATCTATTGTTTTCCTCCTTCTTGCCTCATATATATCTGCCATTTTTCGTGTAGACCCTGGTTTGACCCATAATTTTTTACCACCGTGCATATTTGATAACTATAAAAAAATTACATGTTAGAAAATATGAATTACACCAAATTGTAACATTAAACCATTATAGAAAATGATAGAATGTAATTACGTAGCTTTCAAATAATACTATTTCTTAATATTTGTTCATTTACGAAACAAAAACATATACTACACATCATAATCCATATCAGGGTCTATATCTAGGTCAGACTGATTATGCAGATTATCTTCTTCATCATCGCCATACTCTTCCATTGTCTGATCATTGTGTCTGATCATTGTCAACTCCATACTCCGTATTTAGGTCAACACTGGGAATGATATCGGGACCAATATCATCCCTATAATAAGGATAATTTGTAGTAGGCTCAACGAGAATTGGAACAGCAACAGTGGTTTCATCTTGTTTTTTGGATATGATATTATTTGGATATGCATTACAAACTGATGAGAAAGGAGACTTTTGTATGCGTATGGCATATTCAGAGAATGATTGAGATGCACGTCAGGAGAGCATCAGCAGTTGGGACGACATGGAGGACATGTTTTTGACGAACTTCTTCGACGACGACACTGAGGTCTCAATCAGCACTCTGTTTGAGGAGAAACAGAAGAATGGTGAGACAGTCGAGAACTTTGTGAAGAGGTTCCGGAATAAAGCAATGAATTGTAGGGATCCGGTCAGCGAAGATTTCATCCTCGAGACCTGTCATAACAATCTTTCATTGGACATCCTGGAAGCCATGGGAATGGCACCGCCAAAGACCTGGAAGGATCTGAAGGTGCGAGGAGAACGAGCCGAACGATTCCTCAAAAGGAAGAAGGCAGAAAGGGGTCAAATAGCTAATAATGCTCCGCAACCAAACTTCGCCCCTAAGGGAAAAGGAAAAGCACATGCAAATGCCGTGAACGCAAATTAAACGTTCGAGGTGCAAGCGCAGCCGCAACAGCAGCAGCAAAAGGCGCCCCAACAACCAAGGTGGCAACAGCAGACCCCGAAGCCAAAAGCCTCGGAGCCAAAGTTCCCAAAAGTCTATTCGTTCAGAGAGGATGAAGTTCCCGGTATTTTTAAATACCTCGTTGAGAATAACAAGATCAAATTGCCTCCAATCCAGGATCAGGAAGACGCCAAGAGAGTCAATGATCCAAAATACTGCGCATTCCATAGAGCGGTGCACCATCCTACCAAGGTATGCTATGCTCTTAAGGACAAGATCCAAGCTCTCATCGATGTCGGGGTCATCACCATGAAGCAGCCGAAGGAGAAGAGAGTGGGAGCAAATGCAGTATCGATCAGCTTCGGTTCTGTTCCCTTAAACTGGTTCCAACATGAGCCAGTAATAAATGCAGCTGTGAA